CAGTGCGGTGCGCTGGCCGAAGCGCGCTGGCCGTGGCGGCCATTGGAGGGTGAACCAACGGCAAAGGAAGACCTTTCTCTCTGTCTCTCTCTCTCTCTCACTGTCCACTCTGCCTGTCAAAAAAAAAAAAAAAAGTGAAAGTGTGCATGGGCCTGTGTGAAGATGCAGAATGGCGGGGCAGCTTTGCTGCGGGACAACTTGCTCTCCTGGGAACTGACCCAGTCCCTCGAGAGTGAGGACTTGCTTCTTCCCATGGATCCAACCCAGTCCTCAGACTGGCATTGAGCTCTTCAAAGCCAGAGCTCTCTGAACCCAGATACCTCCTAAAGGCCCCCTCACTGCCAACATTGTAAATTGAGCATGAGATTTTAGCAGGAGGGGCAGGCACATGGCGCAGGGGCTCAGGCACCACTTGGGATTCCCCAGTCCCATGTCAGAGTGCCTGGGTTGAGTCCCAGCTCCTCTTCTTGCAATCCAACTTTCTGCTAATGTGCATCCCGGGAGGCAGCAGATGATGGTTCAGGTACTTGGTTCCCTGCCACCCACCTGGGAGACCTGGATGGAGGTCTGGGCTCCCAGGTTTGACTTGACCCAGCCCCAGCTGTTGCCAGCATTTGGAGAGTGAACCAGTGGATGGAAGTTCTCTTTCTCCCCGTTGTGTCTCTCTGCCTTTCAAATAAATAAAAGTAAATGAACAGAGCTTTAAAAATAAGCCAAGCATAGGACAAGTATCGTATGATGTCACACATATGTGGAGTCTAACACTGAGGTGACTTCATTAAAGTTATAAGTACAGGGGTGGATGGGGCCAGCATTGTGGCACAGGGGGTTAAGCTGCCACCTGATGCCAGCATCCCATATGAGTGCTGATTTGAGTCCCAGTACCTCCACTTCTGAACCAGCTCCCTGCTAATGCACCTGGGAAAGTAGAGGAAGATGGCCCAAGTGTTTGAACCCCAATAAAGAAATGTTCAATGTAAGAGGAGATGGGTACATTTACCCTGATTGAACATTACACAGTGTACACAGGTATCAGAACATCACATGGTGAATCATTTGTATGTACAATTTTATGTCTATTAATTTTCAATAAATTTTTTTTGACAGGCAGAGTGGATAGTGAGAGAGAGAGAGACAGGGAGAAAGGTCTTCCTATGCCGTTAGTTCACCCTCCAATGGCCGCCGCAGCCAGCATGCTGCAGCCGGCGCACCGCGCTGATCCGATGGCAGGAGCCAGATACTTATCCTGGTCTCCCATGGGGTGCAGGGCCCAAGCATTTGGGCCATCCTCCACTGCACTCCCTGGCCACAGCAGAGAGCTGGCCTGGAAGAGGGGCAACCGGGACAGAATCCGGCGCCCCAACCGGGACTAGAACCCGGTGTGCCGGCGCCGCAAGGCAGAGGATTAGCCTAGTGAGCCGCGGCGCCGGCCTTTAATAAATTTTTTAAAAGAAGATTATTTCAATTGTTTCCGAACCTTCCAGTGTGCAAGCCGCAGTGCTAGGAATACCAGGGCTCACCCTGGCACTGTCTGGGAGGTGTTCTCTGACCCCTGGCCAGGTCAGATTCTTCTGATTTGGGTTCCAAGTATGCTAGGTACTTTCCTTACCAAAACATTCATGGCACATTGTGGTAATTTTGTACTTGCTAATTGTCTCTTCTCCAAGACTTCTACGTCCTCAGCCCCTAGCCCAGAGCTGGGCGCCTGGCAGACGCTTAGTTCTATTCCCTCTTGTCCGTTGAATGCCACCCCTGCCTGACCAGGGGGTACTTGCAGCAAGGGAGGGCAACGACACAGAGAAGCAATGACAGTGCAGGCCAGACAACACATGGGGCCCTGAGGAGGAAGGGCTGAGGGGCTTGGCGGAGGTCATCTGGCCCAGGAAGTGCAGGGCGAGGAGGAGTTCTCCATCCAAACAGGGAGGGAAGAACATGCTAGGCCCCAGGAGTACAACATCTAAAGGACATGGCCGTGTGAGACGGTCACCTGGGACCAGAAAAAGAGGCTAGGGTTCAGGAGGGTGAGGACTGGCGCTAGGACTGTGTCTGAACCCGGAAGCTCGTGGAGAAAGCAGGAGAGCAAAGGGATCTGCCTGCAGTTTTAGGAAGAAGACTCCAGATGGAGGGGCTGTGAACCCCGCCCCCTGCAAACTGCGTCTTTGGCAAGCACCCAGGCGATTCTTATGTGGGTCACCCAAAGAGCACAGCTGGAGAGACTGTGCTGAGACGAGAAGCTGCAGCAAGTTAAGGCTGGTGGCAGGCAAGGTGCATGCAGACGGCAAAAGGATCCGAGCCGGGAAGGGTCATCCTAGTGAGATAGCCACAGGAGCTTTCAGAGTCTTCTGGTCTTAAAGATACCTAATTTATTTATTTATTTTTATGTTAAAGGCAGAAAGAAGGAGAGACACACAGAAATCCCCTATGTGTTGGTTCACTGTGATTCACAGCCACAATGGCCAGGGCCAGGCTAGACCGAAGCCAGGAGCCAGGAACTCCATCCAGGTCTCCCACATGGGTGCCAGGGGGCCCAAGCACTTGGGTCATCATCGTTGGTTTCCTCGGCGCATTCACAAAACCAGATCGAACAGAGCGGCCAGATTTTGAACCAGTGCTCAGATATGGGATGCTGACATCACAAGCATCGGCTTAACCGTTGTGCCACAGTGCCGACCCCAGAATCTCCTCTAAACTTTAGAGCCTGAAAGATAGCAGAGCATCAGTGATGAACAACACCACACGAAGCTATGCAGCTCTGCCAGGTGCCGGTGTGAACAGCTGGACGTGGGCACCAAGTCCCGGGAAGACGGCCACGCCAGCGTGCAGGCAACACAGTGCCACGTCACTCCAGACCCCGGTGTCCTGAGGCTCACGCGGTGGAATGTGGGTGCCCTTCCAGCTACCAGAAAGGCTTTGGTAGGAGTTCACTGGAAAAGCCCGGGGCCTCTTCCTCTACAAATGATCTCTAATGAACTTAATAGTGCATTTCAGGGGTACTGCGGGCCAGTACTGAACAGACATATTGCGCCTGAGCTAGACGGGAGAGATCTAAGCACATTATCTAAGTACAGCAGTCAGTCTCCCGAAGGCTCTGCTTGCCTTTTGTGTGCCCTTGAAAGTCTGCACAAACAAACGTGAACAGACTCTGGACCCTAAGAATAATATTTTTCTGTGGACCTATAGGGATACATAAACAAAACCCCAAGGGGAGAAAAAACTTCAATTAAAAGAAAAATAAGGGTCCCCCATGGCTCTATCCTCTTTTGCTCCTTAGCGTTTCTTAACTTCACCGTGAGATAAAAGTAGTTTGGCTTCTTGAGAGATGTTGGTGAGGAGCTGAACAAGAAGAAAGTGTTTCTGTCCCTCTGTCTGTCTGTCTGTCTGTCCCTGATTGTTGCAGCCCTCAGTGATAGATGTCTGTGCACGCCTGGGTTAATGGTTCTATGAATAGACAGGGGCACTGTGCCGGGGAAGAGTCCCTGGGGAAATCCTCTTCCTCACTCCCAGCCCCTGTACCCCGCTCCTGCCAAGCTCCTCTCTGGAACCTGGGTCAACCTCTCCACCCCCAGGTGCACGGCATCCTTGGGCTGCAGCTTGCCTTTGGCTTCTGTCCGTGCCGTGTGTCCCTGCCTGCTGTGGACAGCCATGAGAGCCGACCAAGGCGCCTGGGGGTTTCTCGGCTGGAAAACAGTGTTGTGCATGCACAGTGATTTTCGCGTGAGTGGCAGAGGAAGGGGATGAAGGAGGACTGTGTCCGTGGAGATGTCTTTAGGGGGACTGTCTTTAGGGGGCTGTGGGGGGGGGCTCCTGGGAGTTATTACAAAGTGCTTGCAGGTGCAGACCCCAACACCTTTCCCTAGGCAGGGTCCTCTGTAGAAAGAGGAACCCTCTTGTCTGGTGGCGTGTGGGTTCCTGTCAACACCCAGATGCACGTGACAGATAGTTCGCAACAGGTTTCTTCTGTTTGCACTCAACTGCCCTGGAACAGCGGAAGAAATCATAAATATTTCCTTGTCCTCTCACAAACCCTTCATCTAATAAAGCAAGATCACTGGAGCGGAAGTGGGGGAGCCGTTCACATCGTCACTTAAACTGAAGACCTGGCTTGGCTTGGGCTGTCTTGGAGACTCTCTAAGCCTGTGCTCTGTTATGGAATACAAACCAGGTGGCTAAGACACACACACCCCCGCAAAGGCAGGTGGCAGTTCTAGGAGTGGCGGTGGAGGTCCTGCGTGCTCATCGAGCCCCTGGCACTGTTGTACCAGTATGGAGGGTAGCCTCTGGGTGGTAGGGAAGAGACCAGAAGGGTAGCAGGTCAGAGGGCTGTGCACCCCTGAATGCTGCTTGGGGGCGTGGGAGGGGACTCGGTGCTTGTGTGTGTACCTCCGTTCTGCTTCTTCATCCACCTCAGGCTGGCTCCCTCCCTCGAGTCGCCCCCCCCCCCGATGGGGGGTGGGGGGACATTGCAGCTTGCAGCTGCGGCACAGATAAGCCAGGCTGTGGGTTGGGAGCAGTTCCCAGCGAAACCCCATGGCTGTGTCTCCCACTCAGGAAACTGAGCCCTCACTCCGCCTTTCCCAGTCCTTGGCACAGGACTCTGCCTATGGTGGCTGCCAACTATTTACCTAGTGAGAGATAGCCTCCATCCCACACTGGTTTGTGTTTTTCCAACGTCATTCATAAGCTTTAGCATTTTAGTAATAAAGCCCAACGAGCCAGTGAGATTTTGTGATCGTGAGTGGCTGTCAGAGGGGTTGGAAGGAATACCTGTTAGCAGTGTTGTAGGCTCTTAAAGTAGCCTGCACGGTAGAACTGACAGCCAGCCCCACCACCCGACCGTCAGCAGCATGTGGACAAACTGCTCACGGGTCCCAGGCAGGGACTTAGGGAGATGGTCAAGCTGGAGGCCAGGGCAGAGGGCGTCCTGATGTTGCCTGACTCCCATCCACCCTCTGGAGGCTTAACCTGTGTGGACAAGTGGTCAACATGAAGCCCTTCCTCAGGTCAAGAAGAGTCTGCTAGTGCAGCTGAATCCTGAGGCATTTTGTCGCTGCTGCTGGAACCCTGAGAAGCTGGAGCTGAGTCCCTGAGGACCTGGACCCTTCTGTTACCTCAGGGGAGCAGGTGGGATTCCATGAGGACCGGGAGCATCTTTGCTGTCTCATCTAATTTTCCCATTCTGGAAGATGCTTTTTTATTTTATCTTTTTGATTTATGTATGAGAGAGAGCTCCCAATGACTAGTTCACTCCCCCAAATGCCCACAACATCCAGGGCTTGGTCAGACCAAAAGGGAGCTGGGAATTCCACCCAGGCCTGCAACGTGGGCATCCAGGACCCAAGGAATGAGCCATCACCTGCTGCCTCCCAGGGTGTGCATTAGCAGGAAGTTAGCTCCTGGAGTCAGGAGCCAGCACTCAAATCCAGAGATGATAACCTCTAAGCCAAATACTTGCCCCTGAGTGATTTTTTTAAAATAAGCATTTTAAAAAATAGGGATTTATGCATCATGTTAAATGGACAGGTGTGTTTCAGTAAACATTTTTGGAAGAAATTTGGTGTGGAGATTGACAACCAAATACAGTAATATGAGGTCATTGTCAGTCATCTGGGGGCTGGTGCTGTGGAATACTGGGTAAAGCTGCCACCTGCAGTGCTGGCATCCCATATGGGCACCAGTTCAAGTCCTGGCTGCTCCATTTCTGATCCAGCTCTCTGCTATGGCCTGGGAAAGCAGAAGATGTTCCAAGTCCATGGGCCCCTGAACCCACGTGGGACACTCAGAAGAAGCTCCTGGCTCCTGGCTTTGGATCAGCATGGCTCTAGCCATTGAGGCTATTTAGGGAGTGGACCAGCAGATGGAAGATCTCTTTGAATCTGCCTCTCTGCAAGTCTGCCTTTCAAATAAATAAATAAATAAATATTTAATAAATGAATGCATAAAAATCAGTCATCTGGCCACCATAACCTGCAGGAAGCAGGATGCAGACTCTGGATGCTTCTGGGGCATTCCGGGCCTGTTGAGGTGCCTGAGAGGGATGTGGAGGGCAGGGCAGGGTTAGCAGGGAGCGCCAGGGCAGGGGCACAGAGATCCGGAGCAGGCTGTGCGGGGGCTGGAGAATCGTGGGAAGCAGAGGGTAAGTGCACAAGTGATGGCCAGAGGGTGGATGGGCATCACGAAGAAATGTGAAGCAGCCCCGCCAAGGATGAGCGATCTGGGCTGGAGTTAGGGGCACACCTCGGTTCTCAGGGGGGCAGGAAGAAGAAGCAGAGGAAACACCGTGGGGAGGGGAGGCCGCTTCTCCTGTGTCGTCCCACACAGTGCCACCTCAGGGGCTGACCCTTCCCCTCTCCCTGGTAGACCCAAGGGCATTTTGCAACTATTTTATGAAGGCCACTTTAACTCAGTGAACTTGACAGGGAGACCATTCCAAGATCTAGTATCTCTCTCTCTTTAGACCCTGAACAAAGTTTCCTTCATTTGAAGCTTAGTATTTCTTAATTCTAATTATGTCCATCTTGTTTTCTGAATTAATTAGAGACCTTTGTGATCTAATGAGTCTGAAAGATAAAAATCTGAGGCCGGTGCTGTGGTGTAGAAGGTTAAGCCTCTGCCTGCAGTGCCAGCATCCATGTGGGTGCCAGTTCAATTCCTGGCAGCTCCACTTCCCATCCAGCTCCCTGCTAATGCACCTGGGACAAGCCGGAAAATGGTCCAAGCACATGGTCCCTCACCCAACTGGGAGACCTAGAAGAAGCTTCTGGCTCCTGTCTTCACCCTGGCCCAGCCCTGGCTGTTGCACCATTTGGGGAGTGAACCAGCAGATGGAAGATCTCTCTCTCTCTCTCTCTCTCTCTCTCTCTCTCTCTCTATCTCTGCCTTTCAAATAAATAAATATTAAAGAAAAAGAAAGATAAAAATCTGAGATTCATTCTTACCATTACTTCATCAAATTAGTGTTTTACTCCTCTCAAAACTGGTTTTGGCAGGAAGACTGGCTTTTCTTTTTTTTTTTTTTTTTTAAGATTGAGTTATTTATTTGAAAGGCAATGTTATGTGGAGGTGGGAGAGAAGGACACACACACACACACACACACACACAGAGAGAGAGAGAGAGAGAGAGAGAGAGAGAGAGAGAGAATCTTCCACTTGCTGCTTCACTCCCCAAATGGTCACAATGGCTAGGGATGGGGCAGGCCTAAGCCAGGAGCCTGGAACTCCATCCGCGTCTCCCGTGTGGGTGCAGGGCCCAAGCACTTGGGCCAGCCTCCACTGCTTTCCCAGGAGCATCAGCAGGGAGCTGGATGGGAAGTGGAACAACCAGGACTCAAACCAGCGCCCATATGGGATGCTGGCAGCACGGGCCGCAGCTGAACCCACTGTACCACAGCGCCAGCCCAAAGAGTGGCTTTTACAACACCTGATGTTTTGTTCAAAGAGCACAGAAGTTGAGGGCTGCTGGTGAATGCCGAGGTGATGGCGGGGGAACCAGGGTAGCAGGCACTCAGGCAAAGTGCCCAGGAGAGAAGCCCCGGGACGAGTCTCGCTCTGATGCGGGTTAAGCTCACGATCTGCTCCTTGTTCAGGAGCCAGGCCTCCTTGGGCCTTTCCTTTGAGATGCTCTGCTGTCTCGTGGTGCCCAGTGAGTGCATATCTTCACCTTCCTAGTGAAAGTCCACCTTCACTGAACGTAGGTCACCGTTGCTCACTCCTCCACAGCTTGGGGGTGAGCAGCAGTGTGCTGGCCAGGCTGGCTCTTGTCCAGAGAGCCCACTGTCGCTCACCTACACATATGGCTGCCCCTCCCCTGACACCCACCACAAGGAAGACCAAAGCCAACACCCAGCAGGGGTGTTTTCAGTCATTATTTTGTGTTCTGTGTTCCATGTCTGTGCTTCTGTCCATCTTGGCTAGGGTGCTCTGAGGGAAAACAGAGAAATCAGTGAGACCACAGGTATCGATAAAACGTATCGATAAAACGTGCACTCGAGGAAAACAACCAGAGGGGTTTTCTGCTGATCTGCAGTCACCCTGGCGTTGTTTGTTCTGTTTTGTTTGTGACGGAGATTTTAGGAACTTTGAAGAAAGGACCTGAAAGTGGTACTTAGCCTGGTCTTTAGTTTGAAAATATGCTGACGTCTAACTTTCAGAGCTGAATAATCTAATTCTTGATCATTCCAGAACACACTTAGGTATCCGTGACCATTTCCTGTTCTACAGGGTATTTGCATCCATGCCTAGCCAGGGGGGCTTAAGTGGATGCTGAAAGAATCAAGGACACCCCCCCCCCATGCTCCTCTCCGTCAGCTAACCCTTAGTGCGTGCTCACCTGTCAGTGGTGTCAGAGAAGGCCCTTTGCATGACGCCCAGGGGACAGCCGCCCTGCCCGAGCGCAGCATTGCACGCACGGTTACTGCTCTGTCCTTGTGTCCGTGCTGTGCCCTGAGAAGAAGAGCTGGGAGCCCTTCATGCTCGGTGGGGAGGGGAAGGCTGGTATCTGACCTCGTGCACTCCCAAGCTGGGAAGCCCAGATGAATGCTCCCGGGCTCAGCAGTGAGCGGACGCCGTGCACCCCCTGCCCTCCACACACAGAGCGGGCCGAGAGGTCAGTGAATGAGTGCCCTCCCCATGTGTGGGAGCCCGGTCAGCGGTGGTTTTATACATAGAGGCTTAAATGGGGTCAGCATGGGAGCCGCGCATTGCTTCCAAACTCCCCATCTTTTTGAAGCAATGGGGCTCAAAGAGGAAATCCTGCCAGAGAAGAGAGATGAGGCTCTTATGCTTGGAGAACTGGACAAATACTCCCGGCTCTCTATGTCTAAAAGCAGGACCAAATGGAAAACCAAGAGGGGGGAGGTCCTTGCCGCCCCCTATTCTTCTCTAGTAATCCCTTAAAAAATAATTGCAGACCCAAACCTCTGGCCTCCAGCACATTTTCCACTTGATTAGAGGCCTTTGTGAGGGAGGGAAAGGGACCTGCAGACTTGTACATTGTGCTGGGGCCTGAAATGTCCAGCTGGGATTTTTTTCCATCAAAAGGGGATTTTAGTAAAACCATTATCAGGGGCTTAAAGGAGAAAAGCTGTTGAGCTGCGAGAGAGGGGTAGATTAGCATTAGCGGGGCTGTTGTTGGCACTGGCGCAAGGGTGGGAAGGTGTTTGCAGCCACTTACACACAGTTCCTTAGTTTCTCTGCAAGTTCCGGGCAGGTGCAGAAGTAGGAACGGATGCAAGAGCAGGAACTGACAGGGCCTGAGGTGGCATCGCGCAGGAGGCGACCCGAGTCTGCAGTGAAGGCGAGGTGTTGCTTGGCGTCCACGCCGTGTGTGGGACTCATGGCATCGCTGGGATGTCCACACTCCCCTGGAATCCCCCTCGGCGACACTCTGTGCCCTCTCGACGGCCTCCGTAGATGGTCCTGGGAAATCAAGACACCCCCAAGTAGCCATGCTGGATGCCTTCAAAGAGCCAACGGACACCCTTGTGGGGGTGGCGAGTAGGGGCCGGGAGTACCAGGGAAGGTTAGGGAGGGGGCGGCAGTGGCTGTCTGGTCTGCAGGTGGGGACCCAGCCTGTGTACACTTGCAGACTGGCCTCGGGAGCCCTCTAGGGGAGCGGTTTGAAGAAGTTTCCTCCCATGGGAACGCCTGTCGTCTTGGGATTGCGGGAGCCCTCAGCTAGGCCTTCTTACCCACAATGGAGCATAGAAGCTGCAGTCATGGGAGTTGGACCCCCATAAGGAGTGTCGCCCACCAGCCTGCGCTGGATACACCGTCCTCTGTTCATCCCTGTCTCCGGCACTGTTCTAGCTCGTCCTCCCTGGAAGGATAGGGTAGCGATGAAGCGGTGTGCAGCCTGACTTCCGGGAGCTGGCAGCTACGACAGCAGCCGCAGGTCTCTGGGCGGGTCTGCAGTGCCCTGGTTGCTGCCATCCTGGTCACGGGCCGTCCTGGGGATCACACCCATGGGGACTTTTGTGTCGAGTCAAATCCAAACAACCAGGGAAGCAGGACCTAGCTTCTTGAGCACATTGAAGCACAGCTTCCTGATTCTTCCAGGGACCTCCTTTGAAATCTGTGCATAGTTTTTTCATAATATGCATTGCCCATGAACTTGAAGACCTCTTGTGAAGGATACACTTCCCCTCACTTGATTATTTTTACTTATTTGAAAGCCAGGCACACACACACACGCACAGAGAGAAAGAGATCTTATTCACTGGTTCACTCCAAAACTGCCTACAACAGTGAGGACTGGGGCTCAATCTGGGTCTCCCATGTGGGTGGCAGGGACTTGAGCACTTGAGCCATCACCTGCTGTGTCCCAGGGTCCACACTGGCAGGAAGCTGGAACTGGGAGCCAGAGCAGGGACTTGAACCCGGGAGGCAGGTGCCCCAAGTGGCATCTTAGTCTGTAACCCTCCCTGACTGAATCTTTCTGACGCAGCCCTCGGCCTGCCCTGGGTCCCATCCTGGGTGCAGAGACACATGTCCTCCTTTCTCTCCTCTACTTATTCATTTATGTGGGCACAGCCACTGACTGTGGTGCATTTCAGCTCTGGTTTCTGCTTGTCTAGGACCTCCACGGATAGTGCCAGGAATAGCCATTTTGCTTCATGCCTAGGCCCTGAGTTCCACAAACGTTTCCTTCCCTTCCCTTGTTCATTCTTTAACCAAAAATGCCTTCTGAATCACGGAGCTGCTATGCTGCAAGACAGCTCAGTGGCCATCTCCGCAGGGCACGGGCAGCTCTAAGATTCCATTCCCTGGCTCCATGTTTGGATCGCCCGAGGACAGGCTGTTGAGTGCAAAGCCGCCAGGAGCCCCTGAGGTCTCTCTCCTCTGCTCTGCCTGGCCCTCATTGTGACACTCTATGGAATCCGGCCAGGCTGGCTCTGTTCTTTCCCTGTTCTCATGCCTGCCACCTTCCCCTGGCGTCCACTTTCTGGAGGAGGAGCTCAGACTGTGTCTCCCCGTGGGAGCACTGGCGTTCTCGCCACAGAGAGTGCGCTCCCTCTATCAGAACGTTAGTGTGTTCCCATGGCCATTGAATCTGCTGTCTGGGAGCACAGGTGTCAGTTGTCCCCAGGTTGTTTTCCCAAACTTTTCCAGCAAGGCACCCCAACAAGGACTTAGGAAGACCAAATGGCCTTCAGGGAGAATCAAAAGTTAAAAACGATTTTGAAATGGGTTCAATTCCCAGCCTCCAAAAGCAGAAAATTAGAACCTTCGTGGGCTGACATCTCTTGCTTTACTCCGAAAACAAAGAGCGGGACACCTGGCCTCTCCTGCGGTGACTTGAGCCTCGTCCTTTCGCGGAAGTGACATTGTTTTCATTAACTCCTACCTCCTGGGGCAGTGGCCAGAGGGGATGTGGCCCTAGGGAGAGGTTCCCGCGCACGGCCTCCAAGTGTCAGACAATGCTGCCGCCTGCTGGCAAAGCCCAGGGCGTGCAGGCCTCGTGCACAGCTCTGTCTCCACTTTGTGTCGCCGCGGTGCAGGGCAAGTATTCAGAGTTTCCCTGCCTGATACGAGACCCTAAAATGTTCTCAAGAACTTGAGGGGAAGAGGCGGCCGCGGTCGGACCCCTTGCTCCCCTGATCCCGGTTTGGAAGCGGCTCGCGGCGGCATCACGAAGTGGGAAGGCACATGGTAGTGAGCCGGTAGGAGGCTGTTCTGGGTCTGCCTTTGAGGGAGGCTCATGGATCAGTCTAGAAGGAGACCGCGAGGATGATTCTCCAGCCACCTTCCAGCAGCCTGCCTCCTCCCGCACAGGCGCTTAGACGCGGTGGTGACGGTTTGCCGCGTTCCTCAGCTCCCCTGTGAGTCGGTGGATAAGCGGGACCCTGTGTGTGGGAACACGCGGTGGTGGCCTGCCCGTGGGAGCATCCGGCCTCACTGAGGCCAGAGAGGCACGAGGCTCCCTCTTCCGCTGCCTCAGGCCCTGGAAATCAGACAACTCCTCCACTGCCTGTGTCGTCCACAGAACCTAGCCATCTTGTTCAGTTGGTTGTTTTTAAAGATTTATGTATTTATTCGAAAGGCAGAGTTACACAGAGAGGACAGACAGAATTTTCCATCTGTTGGTTCACTACCCAAATGGTTGCAAGGGCTGGGGCTGGACCAGGCTGAACCGAACTTTCTTCCTGGTCTCCCACACTGGTGCAGGGGCCCAAGGACTTGGGTCATTTTCGGTTGCTTTCCCAGGCCTTCAGCAGGGAGCTGGATGGGAAGTTTTACCTGCTGCACCACCATGCTAGCCCCTTAGAGTCCAGCCGTCTTGGCTGAATTTTGTGTACGTAAAAGGGGTTAGCTAGAAATGGTGAATTTCAACTTGTTTTCATGTTGTTTGCTTAAGACACACCTACTGGACACTATTTTTTAATAATTCGCAGCAGCAGGTATTTTTTGTTTTTGAGATTTAAAAAGCAAAATTTTATTAGAGTCACAGACCTCCAGCCAGAGTGGCATGGAGGGGGGCTTCCAAGAGAGGAAAAAAACCGGAAGTGTCTCATTGTAGTTTTTAAGCACTTTTTTTTTTTTTTTGGACAGGCAGAGTGGACAGTGAGAGAGAGAGACAGAGAGAAAGGTCTTCCTTTGCCGTTGGTTCACCCTCCAATGGCCGCCGCAGCCGGCGCGCTGCGGCCGGCGCACCACGCCGATCCGGTGGCAGGAGCCAGGTGCTTTTTCCTGGTCTCCCATGGGGTGCACAATTTTAATTGACATTCAGGTTACAAGGCAGGGACAAAACCCATCAAAAGACCTGATTTACAATCCTTTATCCTATCTGGCTCAATCATGAGAAAACAAAAAACCAGAAGAGTGGGCAGGTAACTTGTTTTCACAGTAAGCTGTGAGCTCAGGATGATGGGATCACCACTCCCTTGATAGTCTCATCATGAATTTGGAAGCTCCCAAGGAATGAGCAGGCAGGCACTCTGACCTTGCTAAGGATAACTTTTGGGGGGAAACCAAGCATACTACACTCCAAATTTCCACTGGGGCCATCCTGACTTTTTTTATATATATATTTTTTTTTTTTGAGAGGCAGAGTTAGAGATAGAGAGAGACAGAGAGAAAGGCCTTCCTTTTTCCGTTGGTTCACCCCCCAAGTGGCCGCTATGGCAGGCATGTTGCGGCCGGCACGCTGCGCTGATCCGAAGCCAGGAGCCAGGTGCTTCCTTCTGGTCTCCCATGTGGGTGCAGGGCCCAAGGACCTGGGCCATCCTCCACTGCACTCCCAGGCCACAGCAGAGAGCTGGACTGGAAGAGGAGCAACCCGGACAGAACCGGCGCCCCAACCAGGACTAGAACCCGGGGTGCTGGCGCCACAGGCAGAAGATTAGCCTAGTGAGCCGCGGCGCCGGCCACCTGACTGCTTATTAACCCATCCAGCAGCAGTTTAAAATATTGCAAGTAACAGTGGAAGGCGATGCTGCCTTCCATCTAAGAACAGTAAGAATTTATTTGTGAGGCTTATCTGTTGCAGTTTCTCCCTTACTGTCCACTTGTCCAGTTTTAACCTTGGTGATGTTTCTAAAGAGTCTAAGAAATAGTAGGACCACTTTCTTTTGACTTCTCCCTGCTTGAAGACCACTTCTCAAAGTCTTGCTCTGGGCTGGAAAATGGAAGCAGATATGTATATAAATAATGCCAGTTTTGGGCTGGCACTGTAGCATAGTAGGTAAAGCCACCTCCTATAACACTGACATCCCATTTGGGCAATGGTTCAAGTCCCGGATGCTCCACTTCTAATCCAGTTCCCTGCTTCACTCCCGGGAAGGCAGTGAAGGATGGCCCAAGTATTTGGGCCCCTGCCACCCTTGTAGGAGACCTGGATGGAGTTCCAGACTCCTCCTGATTTCAGCCTGGCCCAGCCCCAGCAGCTGCAGCCATTTGGATAGTGAACCAGCAGGTGGAAGATCGATCTCTCTCTCTCTCTTTCTCTTGCTCTCACTCTGCCTTTGAAATCAATAAAAACACATCTTAAAAAAAAAATGCCAGCTGGCGGTAAAGATTGCCTAAAGAGAAATATTATGGACATTGATAATAAATATTTTCTGTTATCCTTTTTAGAATAACAATGCTTCCTATGCCTCACTGAGCAGTTCCACGCTGTTTGTGAAAACTTGTCTCAGAGAACTGTTCTCCTGCAGTCCCGTTCCCGTCTCTTGTATTGATGCTGAGGGAGGTAACTACTGACAGCAGCCGAGGGCGAGTCTTGCTCCTCCTGGAGCATGGGTTACAGAAACAGAGGAGCAGTGAACGCAAGAGGGTGCTTGGTCTTAAACTAGACCTTTCTACTCTTTCTGGACAAGAGGGGTTTGTAACAAAACATCTGTGCCATCAAGCCTTTCTACTGCTAGAGAAAGGATAAACAGCTTGAGTTCCTGCCCCAGGTCTGCCTAATAGAAGGGTTGTGTGACAGAGTGAGAGAGCCCTCCCATCTGCTGGTTCACTTGCCAAAGGCTCACAGTGGTCGGGGGCTGGGCAGGGGCCAAGTCCTGGAGCTAGGAATCTAACCTGTCTCCCATGAAGGTGCGAGAGCCCAATCATTTGAGCCATCACTGCATTACCAGGAAACTGGAGTCAGAAGCTGGAGCCACATATTGACCCAAGCACTCTGATACAGGATGTGGGCCACCTAACCCCAATGTGACAGGTATCTGTAGTGTGTTAAATGTGCCTAAGTTCTTAGCTTTGAGGCATCAAATTCTAGCACGTCTACTAAGACGTTATTATTTGTAACAGAGCAGTGTTTTGGAAACTGGCTCAAGTCCTCTGAGGGCGGCAGGCAAACAGCTCCTTCACTGCCATAGGGACCACTTGCAAACCTGCACCGTTCTTGAATAACTATATGCATGAGGTTTACAATACACGGCTATATTTGCATACAGTAATGCATATTAAATAGTGCCTTTCAATCTTTGGTTTTGCTCTCAATCAAAATAATATGCTCTCTCAGGGAGTTTGCTTCTGAAAACTTGTGGGTGGGCACCTTGCAGCCTCTCAGGGTTACCTGCACATGGATTCCACTGGAGTTTGGAGCAGCCTTGGTTCTAAGGTTGACTCCATTTGGCACCAAGAGAAAATCTTGTCAACCTTGTCCAGCCTCTTTGCCCATTAATAAGGCTGCATGTGGGTTAAGCCACCACCTGCGACGCCAGCATCCCATATGAGCACCATCTTGAGTCCTGGCTGCTCCATTTCCTGATCCAGCTCCCTGCTATAATGAACCTGGGCAAGCAGCAGAAGATGGTCCAAATGCTTGGGCCCCTACCCCACCCATGTGGGAGACCACATGGAGTTCCTAGCTCTTGGCTTTGGCCTGGCCTAACCCCGGCCATTACAGCAATTTGGGGAGTGAACCAGCAGATAGAAGATTTCTCCATCACTGTCACTCTGCTTTTCAAATAAATCTTTTAAATAAATAAATGAAGCTATAGGAGCCCACTCACGTCCCTGAGGTCTCACCTGGGCTTCTTGGCTACTGTCACTGCAGACGCCATTCTCTTCCCGATCGCTGAGATGCAGCTCCTTTCCATGGTGACAAACGTGTGTATCCCTGTAAGGTCTTTTTTTTGGGGGGGGGGGCAGAATATATGGCATTTAAGTAGAAGAGTAATGGGACAGTAAGAGCTTAAGTTTTTAATGAAAATGCATACTTCTTTTTTCTGCATTACCAACAGCAGGCAGAGGCATTCCACCTCATTTTACTGGGGGTGCTGCATGGGTAAGGACTCTCGCGCTTCAACTGGAAGGCTTCACCGTACAGAGTACCAGATGTTCTGAGCTGCTAAAGGCACGTCCACCAGGCAAAATCAGAGTGACCCCTGTAGAAGAGGAGGCTGACACTGATCACGGGTGGTCACCGTGATTTGCCAGTTGTCCAGAAATACCGTTTTGCCCAAGAGCTGCTCACCTCTCAGGCAGCACGAATGATTACCAGCTGGCACTGGCTGCAGCAGGCGTGCTTTCGAACACTCACTTTGTAAAACATTGAACCTGCTACCGAATACTGGAACAAAAATGAGGCCGATAGGTAGCCCAGGCTTAAGCTTTGGTTTGCAGACAGCTCTCTGGTTTCTAATCCTGTGCTCCACTCATGATGCACACGACTTCATGAAAAAGCCTGGCTCCTCAGGGGTTCATAATGGCACAAAATTTAGGTCTTGCCCTCTACTAAAGGGATAGAATTAACTTTTAAAAGGGGTGATGTTTGATGCGGGGAAGAGAAAGAGAACAGAGGAGGGACCACTAGATGACTTACTCTGGCCCCTCCCTATTCTGCAGCAGAACAGAGCAAAGATCAGAGGCCAGGGGCTTCCCTTTCATGGGACCGGGAAGAGAGAGTTGTCAGAAGCTGCATGAGGTCTTGGGTTTGTTTTACAAATCTGATCTTTCAATCAAGAGGTCCTTATTCTTTGGAAACACAGTGGTCCCTGGGGGGCCACTACCCTTTCCCCTTTGAAAACTTGGGTTCAGATTCTCTTAAGCCCAAAGTGAAAGGTTTTACGTATATGCCAAGAGGAGTTGGGGGGTAGGGCACGCTTCAGTTCATATTGTCGCTCCTTGTGGAACAGCAAGTTCACGCCTTTAGGAGAAACTGCAGTAAAGGGAACATTTGCTTTTTCAAGTCTTTGTTGATGTGAATCAGGAAAGAGTGTGATCGGTTTCTGTTTTAACTGAGGATGCACGGCTGCCAGCCTTTAGTTTTGGTAAACGTTAAGTTAGGCAAGCATCCTGTCGCCATTGCCAAATGTGGAATAAATCAAGTAGGCTCCCCTCCCTCCCACCGGTGAGGACTGAGGAGCTCAGCAGGGGAAATCACGCACCACCAGCAGCGCTCTGAGCTAGCGGCCCATCGTGACCGAGCTGCACTTAGAATCTTTGCAGTTTAGACATTCCATTAGGCAGCTGCCTAACGAGACTTCGAAAAGCTGGGCCCGTGAGCCCCTTCTGACTGCTACCCAAACAGGTTCTGATAAGGTTTATGGCTTCTAGATGTCAGGTTTACAGTAAGTTTATACCTTCTCTGCTCAGTTAACCTTCGGCAAATATCTGGACCAGGTTTGTGGGTTTTTTTTTTTTTTTTTCCCTGTAACTCTAAAAATTTCCCTGAAATGCCTTTTAACTTTTGCACCAGCCACCTGCCTGGCTCACCTTGTGCGCGCAGTAACTACACCTTCTCCAGGGAACAGGGGCCTGCACATTAGGAGTGGACCTGGTTTGAATCCTGGTTCCCTCACTTTAATGGTTGGGTAACAGAGCAGGTTGCTTTGAGGACTAGCGTTTCCAAATCTACATGCACAGCATACATTCATCTTCCCATCAAAAAAGGATGATAAGCCATTGATCTCAACATCTTCCCCGGAGAAGCTCCAGATACGCTCAGTGTGCCTGGTCCAGGATAAGGACACTTAGACCCACGGTTTTGACTTTCAAACATGAACTAAGCTATAGTGTATATTAAACAGAAAATTCGGGCGAGCGCCGTCGTGCAGCGATCATGCTGTGGCCAGGGAGGCCCACATCCTCTGGGAGGGTGCCCACTGGAGTTCCGGCTACTTTGCTTGTGTGCCTGGGAGGAACTGGGTCCCTTCCACCCATGTGAGAGGCCCACATGGAGTTCCAGGCTCCTGGCTTTGTTGTGGGCATCACTCTCCCTTTCAAATTAATCAGTCTTAAACAGCAGAAAATACCGAGTGGGCAGGATTACCGTAGCTGTTAGGAAGAATGTGAGAACAGAGCCCAGACCTAGCTGGTGCTTGAATTTTTATCCATTGAGTCTGTCCAGCCCCAGGCTCTGAGAAAACAGGCCAGGACCCCAGCTTCAAAGCTGACCCTAATTCAGAGGCCCTGCTTCTTTCTAGGGCTCACACATTTTCTTTTCCCTTCAGGCAATAAGCACTGTAACCTAAGCGGCAAAGACACAGACCCACACCTTCCCCAAAGAAAAGGAAGATGGATCTGGTGTCAGGCTCAATTAGACCCAATTGTGATGGCTCTCCAAAAAGGAACAATGCCGCTTTTGTGATATGCTCTAGCAGAAGGCTTGGAAATTTTACACAGCGGTCTTACCCGCAGACGAACCTGGGTTCCAGCCCTCTTCCTGGAAAGAGGGGTCGACCCAGCAAAGTTTCATACCTACTCTTACCACCTCTTCCCTGGACCAGATTGGGTTTTTTTTATTCAAAAAAACAAAACAAAACAAAACAAAAAAAACAGCCCATCTCAGCAACCAGGTGAGCAGAAGGATGCGAAGGCAGGCACAGGCTTAGAGGCCCACGGCTCCCGCGGGGTGAGGAGACTCAGTGATGGTCTTCCTAAGGGCATTCTTCGCTAGAACTGTTGGTATTCCTTTATCTGCCCCAGATTCAGTCCGAGAACCCTCCACAGAGTCCATGGAGTGCCCGGCCTCCGCGCTGAAGTGCTTAAAATGCAAATGTGCCCCACTCCCGGCCGGCCCCCGCAGCCCCCGGAGAGCCGCGCCCGGCCGGGCCCGGAGCGGAATGTTAAGAAGCGGGCCGGAGCGGCCGGGGCCTTCCCACCGGGCCGCGCTCCCGCTGTGACATTCCGCATGCATGACACGCCCGACTGCGCCGCGGGCCGGCCCGGACAGCGCTCTTTCAACTTTGCGGAACAATGGCTCGGCCCCGGCCCCGGCGGCCCCCCGCGCCCACTCCGAGGCCAGGCAGACCCACCTTGCTCGCCCACGGCCGCAGCTCCTGACCCACTTCTACCCAAGGAAAAAACTGACTGCTCCGGCAAATCGCGACTCTTACAAATCTGGGTTTTTGTTTTTTTTTTTAAGTTTCATTTGGTTCAGTTTCCTTAAATTTCCATGTTGTTGACAGTTTAAAACCGAAAATTTTATAAATCTCGTCTAATCACATTTCTAGAAACAAAACATTCCAACGTCAGTAGTAACCTTATACAGAATCAATGTTTAACCATGAGCTTACTCATACCACATAGGATGCACCAAACTCTGCTTCAGGGTAGAGCATACAAACAGCACCTCCTACTTTGGCATGACCCAACACACAATGCCTTAAAAATAATTCACAGATACAAGGTTTTTTTTGTGGGTTTTTTGTGTGTTTTTTTTTTTCAAAAACATACTTCATATTTCCTCTTTTATTATATAAATATCAGTTTAACCTTTTACTGTAAGAATATAAACGTTTTAAGAGGATCTTTGTTATTATTTATACAAATTCACAAACAGTACAATTAATTGATAAAGGTCTCTGGGTTTCTTTAACTCCATGGTCTTGCGTGTTGCTGTGGAGGGTTCTAAAAAAATAGACAAACAAAACCAACAAAAATATACATCCTACTCAAAAGCCATTTCTTTAAAGCCACAAGTCCCAACCCCCACCAAAATAAAGTCATCTAGTCCTCCATTTAGAAACAGAATTTTTTAAACCCATAAACTCCCATGTTATGAACAGAGCACAGACAAGACAGGAGTGCCCAGTCTCCTCCCCATCACATGAAGGGTGCAGGCTCCCAACAGGAAAGCCTCCCCTTGACCTCTTTGTGGGAAACATGGAAGAGTGAGGGGAGGGCAGAATTTGCATATATAATCATCATTTGCAAGACACAATCTGCATCTCAAACAAAAAAAGCAGTTCGACTCATTTCTCCCACACATTTGTGCTATAAATTAAGTCAAGATTTAAAAACACGGTTGGGTCCTCATATCCCAGTGGACAAGGAGGAAAGGGAAGATGATGGCCAGAATGTGGAAGTGGTACACCCTGGATGGATGGAGGTTGGGAAGAAGCCAAAACAAAAAGAGGTGTACAAACCCAGCGGGCATCTTTCCAGTCTAGGCACACGAATGTTTCAGTCTCAGAATCTCGCTCTTGTAGAATTCCAGGGCTTCAGAGAAAAAAGTAAACTAAAACGAGGTAGCCAGACGTGCGTGTGTGTGTATATATATATAATTTATATATATAATGGATAGAATGTATTGAGCAGAAAGAAAGGACCATGATTTCAAATTTCTTCCAAAAATTTTTAAAGAAAGGAACGTGAGCATGCAGGGAGCGTGAGTAGCAGAGCGCTGTGAAAGAGAAGCGATGAGAAGAGACTGGGGTTTGGGTACCGAGTGGGCGAAGGGTGAAAAGGCTGTTGTAGTTGGGTTTGCTCTTTATACATTTCAAAATAAAAACCAGATCACAGTTTTCCAACGAAAGCTTCAGTGAAGGCAAACATTGTCCCCAACTCCCCAGGGTCGAAAGGACTGGCCCTTCTCCCTACCCAGCCCCAGGCGCGGCGGGATACAGTAGTCAGTCCTGCGGCCCTGCGGCGGCAGGGTGGGTAAGCAGCCGAGTCCACCGCTCCCCCGCAGGGATGAGGAAGAGGGGAGGAGGGCCCAGGCGGTAGTCCTGGAAGCGAAAGGAACGGAACGGGCTGCAGGTGGGGAGGGCCCCACCTCATCCACTGCAAAGACCTGTGTATGCACGTGCCTGGGGTGGGGGGAGGCCAGGGGAGCCGGTGCTGCCGCCCTCACCTGACCTTCTCACTGTCCGTCATCTGCCAGAGTCCCAGGTTGAGTACCTTGAGGCAGGGAAGCTGCGTGATTCGCTCCAGGCCGCGCTTGGTGATTCGGGTGCAGCCGTACAGGTCTATGCCAGTGAGCTGGCTCAGGTGCTCAGCTATCAGCTCCAAGCCCTTGTCCGTGATGCGCACACACTGTCCAATGTTGAGCGTGCGCAGCCCGTGCATCTGCCGCACCATGCGGTTGATGCCATCGTCACTGATGTGGCAGGAGCAGAGGGAGAGGGACTTGAGGCCGTCCAGCCCCTGGGCTATGTAAGCCAGACTCTGGTCCCCTACCTTGTCACAGAACGACACATCCAGCCCTGAGAGGCGCAGGCTGCCCATGGCCAGATGCATGATGCCCGTGTCACTGATGTTGTCACAGGAGCGCAGGTTGAGGCTGCGCAGGCTGCCCATGTGCGACAGGTGCAGAAGGCCGGCGTCAGAGATGCCCCCGCAGAAGCTGAGGTTGAGGAGTCTCAGGCCCGTCAGTCCGCGAGAGATGTGCTTTAGAGAAAGATCCGTGAGCTTCTGGCAGTCCTGCAGCGTGAGCTGCTCCAGGCCCAGGCAGCCCTCGGCCGCGCTGCGCGTCATGCCGGCCAAGTGCCCGATGCCCACGTCCGAGAGGTGGCGGCAGCTGCGCAGGTTGAGGGTCTTGAGGCGCTGCAGCCCCCAGGCGATGAGCAGAAGGCCGGTGTTGGTGATGTTGCTGCAGCCCCCCAGCTCCAGCACCTCCAGGCCCTTGAGGTACTGGGCTATGCGGCCCAGGCTGCTGTCGGTGATCTGCTTGCAGAGACTCAGATTGAGGGCGCGCAGGGAGCCGATCTCCTGCACGAACGCGTGGCCCAGCCCGTTGTCAGTGAGGTTGTAGCAGCCGCTCAGGTTAAGGCTCTCGATGTTGGCCATGCCCTGGATCACGTAGCTGAGGCTGCGGCGGAGGCTCAGGATCTGCACGCGGCGGATGCCCCGGGCCTGCAGGCTGGGGAACAGCGACGGGTTGGCCCGGCGCAGGTGCAGCTTGGCCTCCACCCCCCGCCACACTGACTTGTGGTAGGCGGCGTCCCGCCAGGCCGTGCACACCTGCGCCGCGCGCCCCTTGTCCCGGACGTCCAGGTAGCCGAAGATCATGGCCAGCAGCTCGGGAAACAAGCACGAGATGTGGGTCTCCATCTTCCTCCTCCCCCCTCCGCGGCGCTGGGGGGAGGAGGCGCGGGCCCCGCCGCCGCTACTGCTGCTGCTCCTGCCCCGGGGAGCCGACGCGAGAGGTTCGCCCCGGCCGCCGCCGCCGCCGCCTCGGGCCCAACGGACGGCCCCTCCCCGCCTTCCGGCTCCGGCCGCCGCCGCCGCTCCTCCTCCTGGTCCGTCCGTCCTTCCTTCCTTCCTGCCGGCCTCGCCTCCCTGCCCTCCCCCCGCCCCGGGCTCTGCTCGGCGCTCACATCCCGGGCGGGGAAAGCGCCGCGCACTCACTCCCGAGCCCCGCCGCCGCCGCCACCACCACCGCCGCGAGTCTAACCACGCCGCGCTCGGGCCGCGCCGCTCGGCCGCCGCTCCCACGCCCCCTGCCGCATCCTCCGCCGCCGCCGCCGCGCCGCGCCGCTGCTGTGCGGGGCCGGCGGGCCGGCGAGGGGCCCCCGGGGCCGGGCGCACGGGCTCCGGGCGCCGAGGAGGCTTCCTGCTGCCTTTGTCTCTCGCCCGCTTTTCAAACCTCCCAGCTCCGGGCCGCCCGCACTCAGCCGCCCAGGCGGGGGGACCAGGAGGCCAATCCGGGCCACCGGGCGCACGTCCCTTCCCCCTCGCCCCCGCCCCCCGCCGTCCGCAGGCAGTTGGCAGCCGCCGGCTCCGGCACCGAGGACGCCGCGGCCGCCGCGGCCGGAGCGCGGCCCGGCGCAGACCCGGGGGCAAGCCGGCGGGCGGCGCGGTTGGTAGCGTCCGGGACAGGCCGCTCGCCAGACTGCGCCTTCGCGCGTCTCCTCCTCGCTGCGGCTCCCCCGCGCGCGCCGCGCAGTGGTACGAGCCTGCGCTGCCGGAACTGTCGGCGCCGTTGCCCTGGAAACCGAGTTCTCCCGGTCCCGCCGCCCCTGACTTTTAACCCTGTAGGCGCCGCTGGAAAGCCGCTGTCAGCAGAGCGCGTCCCCGCCCTCCTCCTCGTGGCCCGCAGCCCGAGGCTGAGGCGTCGCTTCGCCGGCCACGCCCCAGCCCTCTTCCTCTTTTTCTTCCTGCTGGCGGTCCAACGCCCCCTTCACTTATCTCTAGGATTCCTGACCCTTACTTCAGCCCTTCTCCTGTATCATCCTTGCGAGACTCGCCCCCATAGAATACTGGGTAATCATCACCCAAGTCTCCTTCCTTCTTTTTGCTGCCCCTGATGACCCTTAACACTGTTATCACTCCCCCAGCTCCCCACAGTGGGGCTTCGTTTTGCTCCAGTCTCGACCCTTAAATTGGGGGAGAAACTCTGTTTTACTCATCTTAGTTTAGCACTGGCCCCACTTCAGTTCCCATTCTAGAATTTTCTAGAATTATTCATGGCAACTTCCCCCTAGCATCTTATGGTTGTTTCCAGACAGTGCCAGGCAGGCTTCCGTCGGGCCTTTTGACATCAGAACTTGGACCACTTCCGTGCCTCGCTGCGGAACAGCTGGGCCCTCAGCCTGCTCTGATGGTAGAAGGCAGCAGCCCTCTCTAAGCCTTTCTTGGGCTTTTTCTTCTCATCGACTGCTGGATCACACATCCTGTGGCCCACGTGTATTCATGTCAGTACACTGGAGTGTAGAGGTGCAAATTTGCTCTCTTCAGCAGCAGCAGAATGACTCCTGGAATGGTTTAGATAGTTGTCTGTCAGTTTATAAACTCGGGGGGGGGGGGGGCAATGCTCCGAGTGCGGCCCCTGCATCCCACGTGCACACTCAGAGAAGTTCAGAGTTTCATTTTCACTATCCCTAAGCCAAAAGGTTTTGAGTCAGAAAAGTAATGGCTGCATTTTGATTCATGAAGCCACACAACCAGATAAAAGACAACCAGATTTATCCATCAGGAAAGTAAAATGGGTTTGTGGATTCAGTTTTTAATAATTTTGATTTTATTTATTTGAAAGAGAAAGATCTACCATCTGCTGGCTCACACCCCCAAATGCCCACAACAGCCAGGGCAGTGCCAGGCAGGAGCCAGGAACCTAATCTTGGTCTCCCAGGTTGGTGGCAGGGGTGCATATTAGCAGGAAGCTGCAATCAAAAGTGGAGCTTGGTTTCAAACCCAGGGACTCTAATACGGGCTGCAGGTTTCCCAAGCAGCACTTAACCTCTATGACAAGCACCTGCCTGTCATTATTTGTGGACCTGAACAAGATTTTGAAATGATTGCTGGGGCTGGTGCTGTTGGCGTAGCAGGTAAAGCTGCCGCTTGCAGTGCCAGCATCCCATATGGGTGCCAGTTCGAGTCCCGGCTGTGCCACTTCTGATCCAGCTCTCTGCTGTGGCCTGGGAAAGCAGTAGAGGATGGTCCAAGTCCATAGGCCCCTGTACCTGAATGGGAGACCCAGAAGAAGCTCCTGGCTTCAGATCAGTGCAGCTCTGGCCATTACGGCCAATTGGAGTGTGAACCAGCAGGTGGAAGACCTCTCTCTCACTCTCTCTCTCTCTCTCTCTCTCTCTTTCTCCCTCTCCTCTCTCTGCCTTTCCTTCTGTCTGTGTGTAACTCTGACTTTAAAATAAATAAGTAAATCTTAAAAAAAAAAAAAAGAAAGAAATGGTTGCTTAGTATATAAGATTGATAGCTTTTGGCCACTTCTCTTTGTCCAAGTGGCCAATACAGACCAAGTACATACAAAATCATGTCTAAGCAAAATATACCTTCCTAAATCAGGAAATGCAGAAGCCAAGATTATTCCTTTTTTTCTTTTTTTTAGATTTATTTATTTGAAAGAGAGAGAGAGCAAGATCTTCCATCCACTGGTTCACTCCCCAAATGACCGCAGTGGCTGGAGTTGAGCCCATCCAAAGCCAGAATCCAGGAGCTTCTTCTGGGTCTCCCATGTAGAATAGCAGTCCAAGGACTTGGGCCATCTTCCACTGCTTTCCCAGGCCATTAGCAGAGAGCTGGGTCAGAAGAGGGGCAGTGGGGACTCAAACCAGTGCCCATATGGGATGGTGCCACTGTATGCCAAGGCTTAGCCTACTACAACATCCAGAAGCATTTCAGTAGATATCAGTATTCATAGGGGAAAAGAAAATGGCCCTGAGTTTGGACACCTGGTGACTATTTTTTAAAGATTTATTTATTTATTTGAAAGTCAGAGTTACACAGAGAGAGGAGAGGCAGAGAGAGAGAGAGAGAGGTCTTCCATCTGCTAGTTCACTCCCCAATTGGTGCAATGGCCAGAGCTGTGCCAATCCGAAGCCAGGAGCCAGGAGCTTCCTCCGGGTCTCCCATGCAAGTGCAGGGACCCAAGGACTTGGAGCATCTTCTACTGCTTTCCCAGGCCACAGCAGAGAGCTGGATCAGAAGTAAAACAGCCAGGGCTCGAACTGGCACCCATATGGGATGCTGGCAGTGCAGGCAGTGGCTTTACCCACTATACCACGGCACTTGCTCCTCCTGGTGACTTTTATTGGCATTGAGGAAATGCCACTCGCACGCTTCAGGGTCTCAATTTCCTTGCATAGCCCAGCAGGTCTAATAGATGCTGTTCAGGAACTTCACTGAGTCCTGCTGGCTCATACCCTGCAATGATACTCAGACATGGCTCCCAACGCAAGCTTCTGATTAAGAATGTTTTCACATGCCATGAGTTAGGAGGTTCCATTTATGCTGGGACACAGAAGTAGATGAAGAGGATATTTGGACAGGAGACTAGTTGTCTAGAAGAGACACACACCAATGGAGAGGCTCCCACAGATAGCCGTTTACATCTCAAAAGCGTCCATGGGATGGGACTTTGGCTTAGCAACTCAGCTGTCAATTAGGATGCCTGGGACTGAGCCTTGGCTCAGGCTATTGACTCCATCTTCCTGCCAATGCAAACCCTGGGAAGCAATGGGTTCATGTAGTTTGGTCCCTGCCATGGACATGGAAAACCTGGATTGAGTTCCTGGCTCCCAACTCAAGCCAACCTAGTCCTGACTGTTGTGGGCATTTGAAGAGTGAACCAGCAGGTGGAAGCTCTGTCTGTCTCTCTTTGTCTCTCTGCCTCTCCAATAAATTTTTTTAAAATATTTATTTTAGTTGTTTGAAAGGCAGAGTGTGAGAGAGAGAGAAACAGAGAGAGCTTCCATCTGCTGGTTCACTCCCCACATGGCTGCAATGGCCAGGGCTGGGCCAGGCAGAAGCCAGGGGCTAGGAGTTCCTTCTGGGTCTCCCGTGTGGGTACAAGGGCCCAAGTGCTTGGGCCATCCTCCACTGCTTTCCCAGGAGCATTAACAGGGATCTGGATAGAAGTGGAGCAGCCAGGACTTGAATCAGTGCCCATATGCTGTTGTCCCAGGTGGCAGCTTTACCCACTATGCCACAACCGCAGCTCCATCAAATAAATTTTTTTAAGTTAAAAAAGGAGGTGGTTTTGTGTATGACTCAACAAATTAAAAGCAGAAGTTTTTGTGTTTTGTTTTTCTGCATAAACAATAAAGGTCTGTTTAGAAGCAGCAATGATAGTCTTATGCAGGGAGTATCTCCAAAACCTTACCAAGAATTTTAATGTTTTCAATTGGGTGGGGCCTGGGAACATTGTATGGCCCAACCCAAAGATCGGGCTTACTTCCTCCTTCAGAGAGGGAGGACCTGGCAAGAAGTTCAGAAGGGATCTGTGGCTCTCAACGCCTCACTCATATCCCTGTATCAAAAATAGGTGCATAGATAGATACATCCCCAAAAGCAGTGTCCTAGTCTAGATTATGGGTTGGGGGCCAAAGGAATTAAGATAGTTTATATCTGTTTTCCTTTAAATTAACTTAGCTGTATCCACAACACAGTGTTCACAATGTAGTAGACACTTGGTTGATACTATTGAACTGAAATGAATGAGATTAATAACATTAATAATAAGAGTATCTTTTTAAAAGTGTATTTAGTTATTTATTTGAGAGGCAGAGATAGAGAGGCCTCCTATCATCTGGTTCATTCCCCAAATACCCACCACAGCCAGGGCTGAGCTGTGTCTGAAACCAGAAGCTGGAAACACAATCCAGGTCTTCCACATGAGTGACAGGGGCCCAAACACTTTGGCAATCTTCTGCTGCTTTCTTGGGTGCATTAACAGGGAGCAGGATCAAAAGTGGAGCAGCCAGGACTGGAACCAGTGTTCATATGGGATACCAGCATTGTAGGCAGCAGCTTGAGCTGCTGTGCTACAACACTGGCCCCTCCATTCACTCTCATGCAACCAATCTCCGGAACTTTCTCTGCTTATAAAACTGAAACTCTGTATCCTTTGACCAACTCCCCACTCCCCAACCTCCAGCCCCAGGCAATTATCCTTCTACTTTCTATGTCTCTGGTGCTGGCTACTCTAGATACGTTGTATAGGTGGACTCCTGTTGTGTTTGTTCTTTTGTAACTGCTTATTTCACTTAGCAGTGGACCCATAAAGCTTACTTGTGCTGTAGCGTGTGTCAGAATTTCCTTCCATGTTAAGGCTGAATAATATTCCATTGTATGGATATACCACATTTTGTTTCTTATGCACCATTTGGAATTTGGGAAAATAGCAAAAAACATGTGGGTTGCTTCTATGTTTTGGTACTATGGATCCTGCTGCTGTGAACATCTCTTTAAGATCCTGCTTTCAATTCTATTGGGTACATACCCAGAAGTGAAATTGCTGAATCATATGGCAATTCTATTTTTTGTTTTTTTGAGGAATGGCCATTCTGGTTCTTGGCTTTGGTCTGGCCCAGCCCTGGACATAGTGGCCATTTGGAGAGTGAACCAGCAGATGGAAGATCTCTCTCTCTCTCTCCATAACTCTGCCTTTCAAATAAATAC